TAATTACCAAATATCATGAATTAAATGATAATGCAACTAAAAATATTAAAAATGTGATATTAGGATATAAACATAATAATTTAGTGAAAGATTTTTTCGGAGGAGCAATTTCATTGTAAAAAAAGGGCTTAAACTCCTTAATAATGTTTCAAGATAATTGTAAAATTAAAACTTTATTTTCCAAGCAATTTAAATATTTTAAGTTTAATATTGTTAATCAACTTACTATTATTTATAACTTTATGATTTTTTTTTTAATTTAAATGTTTGTAGTTGACTATAAAATGCTTAGTGTTAATGAGTTACCATACTTTAATTGGATTTAGATATACATAATTTTATTTGTATATAATAAAATTAATAAAAATAATTATAAAGAATGTAAATAAAGGTCAACCCGCAGGTTAACCCATAATTTGCTAAAGTCAGCTTAAAATTAGATTTTTTCAACCCGGAATCCGTTTATAATCCAATCCATATAACCCGTTACTCGAGTTAACCCAACCCAAAGCTGACCCAACCCACCCGTTTGCCAGGTCTACCTCCTATCAATGTGGTGTAATGATTTGTTAGGGTGTGCAAATGGTATCAATGTTGACAACAACGAGAATTGAGTTAGTCCTCCATGAGATATGAGATATTGTTTACTTTAACACATAAATTTTATAGTTTAATTTTTAAAAAGTCTATTATAAAAAAATTAACTTCTAATTATAAATTATAACTATTATGAATTTACCTTTAATGTAAAATTCTACTAACCAACCTCTTTCCACCATTACATTACTATATGTATATTCCTCATCTATAAAAAGGTTGATTCAAAGAACAAGAAGATAATCAATAAATTACAAATAAATCAGTTGTGGTGTTCAAAAAAATAAAAAACAAAGAAATCAGGTATATTGGTCTATTTCTATAACATAAGTTAGATACATATAAAATTGATTTTGTGGCACCATATGGTAGGGAAAACTAATGCAACTATTTAAAGTTAGATTAGAAGCAACACATCGACATGTTTACCTCAAAGTTGGGACTTAAGACGTCCTTTCCCATCTATTCCTCCTAACTTGACACTGTTTCATTGTCATTGCAACTACTGATGTACGTAATTGTGATTTTACCTTGTGGAAATTAAGGATAGAGTTGTTAACTAATTCAGCATTAACAAAAATGGAAATCCCTCTCGTTTAGCTAGCCAGACCTTGTATAACATGAAACCCAAAACCCAAATTCAAGCATCCTCCAAATTTACTAAATAACCTACACCTACAGTCCAATTGGCCCCCAATAATATTGGACAAAAATGGTTGGTTGGAGTGAAACAAGCTATAGAAAATAACTTGTTCCAATATACACATATAGAGTAGTGGTTAGGTCATAGCTGAACTACGCAAGCCATTATCTTCCTAGTTTAGTGTCCCTTCGGGGACATCCGATAAAATTATCTTCCTAGTTTAGTACTTGAAATTAACAGATAATAAGTAATCAATGGGATGGATAAGGTCGTACCAAAGAAAAATTAATTACCTCCAAAAGGATCTAATTTTCTTAAAAATCGAACCTTTCTATGAGCAAAACCAATTTAAGAAGAGGAGCTTAATTAGTGTTATAACTAATGGTCCCCAGTCACTGGATTAATAAAAAAATGATTAAGCTTTCGTAATCAATAAAATATATGATGACGATGAGTAATATATATGGTGAAGTAATTGGGAAGGTATTTTATTTCCTTGTTTTGGCGGAACCACATTGTCAGCGTATGGTTTATTGAATGTAATTGACTTGGTCGATGCAATACAAAAGATGGCGCTGGTGAAGTCAAGCCTGTGCATATGCTTTTCACTGGACTGATTATGATGTCTCTCCAAAAGATTTTAATTACTATTATCAAACAAAGAGGATATTGACCTAGTTCTTATATCCAATGATCACTCACTATC